GGAGAATAAAACTTCTCTGATGAGTTTGCAATCTAAAGGTCACAAGATAACAATTGTTAATATTTCTTATACAGCTTTTATGTCCAGAAACTTAAATTATGATCCAAAATTCTGCTACACTGGGAAAAAAATCATGTACAGTAAAATGGCAGCGAAGAAAAAGAGAAGAGAGACAGTGTCCATTGAACATTACAACATTTGGAGTAAATGGGTAAAAGGGCTGTTTTAAGAGAAAAACATATTTTTGCAGATGTTTATATGGATGTGTGAAGGATGCCTGGGGGGTAAAAAAAAAAAGAGCTTATCTGAAAATTTAACAGAGAACAGGAGGCTAATGCACTCTGTGGAACAAATTCCTAGGGCAAATGTCATATGCCATAAGAAATGAGAAAGAGTTATCTATGAAGAGTCTTAAAATCAAAACCAAGTAATTTATGACTGATTCATCAAAGCAGAATTCACTAGAGGAATAAAAATTGAAGAAGGAAAATGGTATAAGCTGAGAAAAATCATTCAAAATAGATGATCATTCAAAATTCTACATCAGTGTAGAATTTTCTTAAACTAGAGAAAGCAACTTGGATGTTAATGAGGAGGGAGATGTGCCTTCAGAATCCTCTGTGCTTTGTATGGGCATGAGTGACAGGGGGTGGTGTCATGGAGCATGAAGAAGAGGTAAGCAGAGAGCCAAGTCAAGAGTGGGAAAATCTCTGTTTTAGGTCTGTTAGACTTGAGCTGACAAAGATCTACAAAGTGATGTATTTTTCTCAAGTTAAAATAGCTGTTTGATTATGGGGTTTCAGGATGAGAGCTTAACCAAGAGCCATGCCAATATGTGCATTCCCACACTGGGAGCAGAGGGAGTGAAGGCAGCAGTCTATTGTGTCAGTTTGAAAGCAATAGAAATAGAGGCATCTTTCCTAACCCTTGGATTTAACACCTGCTGCAGTGAAAGACAGAAGGGCCCATCGCTACCTTTGATGTCTCTGATTAGTGACAACCTCAGACTTCATGCCCAGACCTAGGAAGCTATTATAGAGATTTGACAGTATCCTTGAAATTCTTTCTGCATCGGAACTGAGATTGTATGTATAAGGATGATATGCACAGGCTAGAAATAATTTGGAATCCTAAAAAAGGACAGACATYGCTTAGTGTGACAATTCCTACAGAAATAAAAAAACAAATCTAATATTTCTTAACCTTTCCAATCTTATTATAATTTGTAAGTTCAGAAGGCTCTTCTATTAAATATTCATATTGCTATTTTTTTTCCATGTATGTCACTTAACTAGGAAAAGAAAAACTCCACATAATTAATGGACTGAGGCTGGGGAATGTAAAAAATGTCTTACTACCTGACAGGAACATTCCCCAGCAGTACTTGACTGCACTGGACCTTGCAGCAGTCTGCAGCTTATTATTTCAAAGTCTTACTATTTAGAGGCTATCAATACTAGACTTCCTCTTTTTGTAATTTACAACAGATAAGACATCTGGTTCAGCCTTTTCCTCTTTATGGCTTACAATATAACGCTATACAAAAGAGCAGAGATTCCCGAGACAGGGGCTTGCTGTTACGGTACAGTTAAAGAGTGAAAGCTGGAACAATTCTCTTTGGAAGGATATTTGAAGAGGTCAGTTTCCCTACTAGAGCTGGTGATGTTTTGATGGGTAACAAAAGAGCTTGGTGTTTYGATTCAGAAAGGTAGGTCATGGCTTTAACTGTCTGCTCCCTGACAGGAAAAAAAATGTAGATATAGGATTTCTTAGTGTTCTTTCTCCATTCACAGTTGATGGATGATTTAAAAACATACTTATTCTTGAGTTTATCCTCTGGGTGAGGAAGTGCTGTAATAGTGCATTTCTTTCTTTGAAACTCAAAGCTTTCATTAACCTAAGAATGATACTTTTAAGGTAGCTTAGGTACTCACATATGACTCACAATGACTTTATTCTCTGCTGACTTGCTATTGTGTAACTCCTTATAAAATGGTATTTACAGAAAAGTAACAAAGATTCATTTCTTAAAGCAAAAGCGCAGCTGCAGGATTTTTTCTCCAGCAGTGGAAGAGCGCCACGGAAGCGGATATTCAGACACCTATTCCTGCAACAGCCTGTGTGCCTAACCATAGACCTGAAGTGTAGACATCAGACTGCTCAGATAATTGAAAACCTGACATGCTTGACGTGACCTGATATGCTGAAATATTTCTAAGTAGTTTAGATATTATGCTAATGATGGAGCTGGCATGACATTTTCACACTACAGTTATTATTTCAACTCTTTATAATCTTGCTCTAAAAATGACCTTTTTAAGATAATTCTTTTGTATGCRTGTGTAGTACTTCTTAAAAATGTTGAACTGACTACACTTTCCAACTGTTTTAATGGATAAAGTAATGACAGTAAAGTACCTCACTGCCAGCACTGCATTATTAATACCTCATTTTTGGAAGCAAGAAGGCAACCTAGTATTTCATTATTTTTTATCATCTGCTGGGATTTGTAATGGCCTTGCAGAAATAAGGGGATCAGATGTTCTCCCTGAAGGCTTCTTTCATCTGGCACAAGAACTTTCTCTTCTTTTCCCCCAATTTAAAATAGCCCAAATTTTGTTACAGGAGATCGGAATCTACCAAAGGAGGACTCATCTTTTAATAGACAATCTGGGGGGCCAGAAATGTCTGAAGATAACTGAATTTAGAAACTAAGAAGGAACATGTGCATGCTTTCCATGAGAATATTCCTTTGGAGGGGAAAAGAGAAAGGAAGAATAAAAAGACATATTGGGAAAGGGGAATAGTAAACTGGGCTGTTGCTGGGGAAAGGCAGAAGTGCTGAGAGGGCCCTAGGATGGGGTACAAAGAGGGAAGGAGGAAGGGACAGTTGGGTGCTATAACATGTTGTAGAGGAGTAGGGGCAGGTTGCCATTATCTCCTGCATGATCACCAACACTTACTGGGATTATGTATGTAAGGACTTGAGTAACCCTGGAATTGCAGCAAACCCTCRAAAGCTAAACATGTACCCAGGCAGACCATGCCACACTGGACACACRTCTGCTTTGACTTTCATGTTTAAAGGAATCGGAAGCTCCCCCTCCTCTCTATATAGTTCTTTTCCCTCCTCTTCTTCTTTATAAACCTAAATGTGGAGTAACAGATGCAAAACTGGCATCAAGAAAGGAATTTGTTGTGCAGTCAGACAATGTAACCAAAAAAATGGTGGAGGTTACAGAAGATGTCCATGTCCATCAGCTGTTTCACCATGTGAAAATGGGGTAACAGTAGCAGTATTTTTGCTTCAACTCCAGCTTAGTGATTGGAGGCTTGGAATACTGAACAGAGCTGGAGACCCCTTCTCCCCCCCCCCCCCCCCAATTTATTTATTTATTTATTTTCTGGGAAACAAAGGCTTAATGGATAGATGGATAGGACATGAAAGCATGAGCTGTGAGTGCTGAGGAGTAGGTGGGAGACTATATTCTGCTAGGAAAAGTGAAATCAAACTTTTTTTTTTCTTTTTTTTTTAACTTATATAAAGACAGGCAACTATTCAAGATCTGGGAATTTGAAACTAATTTTCTTGCTAGTCTATATGTAGTTACATATTGATATAATCTGGTCTAGGACTGAGACCTGTTTCTAATTCAGGCCACTGGCCTAATACTTAGAAAGTCATTTTGCCCCCATTGCCTCTGTTTCCTTATTCATTATATAAGATTTTTTATGTTCTTTGTTTTCCTAACTACATGCAAGATATAAAAGTCATATCTCAATTACAAATCCGTGGGACAACATCCTACAGGAAATAACTTCAGCCTTTGTGCTAAAAAGGCTAGAAAATTCAGTCACACGCGGAATACTTTTTTCAGGAGGGTGGTGGGGAAAGAACTTTATGCCCTTCCAAAATATTGATATATCTGAAACTCCCTCAAAAAAAAGTGGTTATGAAAATTATGAAAACACAGAAATTCATGCGCACTTGCTTAATGCACTGAGCAGCCTTCTGTCCAAAAGTTKTCCTTGTTTTCCCCAGGAGGCTGCCTGTCTTGGCTCTTTGGGCTCTGGCCCATGGGTGCTGCCGGTAGAGGCAAAGCCACCCAAACCCGGCACCAGCCCTGGCCCCCGACCACGCAGGGCCGACCTCTGCGTCCCGCAACTCCCCATCGCAGAGCTATTTTAACAYTAATTTTGCATTTCCAGCATTAAGCATACATTTTTTCACGAATGGATTTTTCAGTGCTGTGGCAAGTCTTTGTGTTACTTAAGTGTTTAGGTTTTTTTTTGTTTTTTTTTTTTTTTTCTTCATTTTCCAGATTCCTCAAACTCCAGAAGCCACACAAGGACCTCAGAGCACTTTACATTTTACAGTGTCCCTGTTCTGCTTACAAGCCAAGCGGGTTGTCCCTTCAGTCTTCCCAAACACACGAGGATTGAGGATTCGGGCAGCCCGTGGCCACCTGGCACCGCCAGCTGCCTCCTCAGGGCAAGGTGACAGCCCCACATGGCTCCCCTTGGACGCGGGACTCTCCCTACGGGGTTTTAACCTTGGCTCTGAGATTGTCGTGGTGTGGTTATGGAAAAACGGAGTTTT